TCCTACTTACAGTGGAACTAAAGCTAGGATTCAAATCTTACAGTTTAAAATTTGCAGCACGGGGGGACAACATAAAGTCTACCGCTTTCTTGATCAATTATGTAAACCCCTGCGTGGGTCGTAGGATGAAAAGTTTGTAATTTTAGTTTTTGATACGACTAATGGGTGACCTTTTGATCTTCTGTTCTATGTCCCAGTGCCTCTCCAAGCTCATCTTTGTGGGGGACGAATGTTCGGATCTCCTTTAGAGTCTTGCGTACGTTCGATTATTAGGAAATGTGTGTTTTCGCACATTGTCTTCTATTTCCTTTCCTAGAATTCACATTTTTCTTTCACATATTCATGACTTTTGGCCGATAATTTTTAGTGAGAAAACATGCAAACATTATCCTTAGAACATGGAGTTGAGGCTTGAGCACTAACTTGGAGGAAGATGATTTCGTTCTACACTAACAAGGCTAGGCACTAGCGACGATGGAATTTATTTAGGAGGCTGAGCACCAGTGGCAATCAACGAGGAAGAAAACCGAGTAGGGCTTTCTATATTGTGGTTTGCAGAAGATATGAGATGAGAATGAAAATTGTAGATGTGGATTGTAGAACTATTTGTATTGAAAAACGTGATAAATAAAAAATTTCATTAATATTAAAATCACAAAATCCTCCTCCGATTTATTTAGTACAGACAATTATGATTAAGGGATATTTAAGCAAATTTATACTTACATATAATCGAAGCTTCTCGATGCTACAAAAGGTTGTGTCGATATTGGCTCGACTATTTGCTTGACCTGCTACTCAAGCTCGGTCAAACTCGACCTCAAGCAAAACTTTAACGTGAGCACTCACGAGCCACTTCAGTCGTTTGCAACCCTACCAGAGGTGACATACAATCTTGGGAAAACTACATGATAAAATATGGCCTATTAATTCCATATGCTTTCCTATTTCCCGACAAACATATTATAATTAATGATATTTTACTAACTATGAACATTCTACCAATTTTCCTCACACTAGGCTCAATATAATACTTTTTTGCCATTTGACTTAAACCTCAAGAGGTGGTCTTTAAAGTAATCCATGACCTTTATTTCATAATGTTGGGTTTTGGGACCATGTCTCCTCTTCTTTCCTCTCATCAATAGACTAGAGCACATGCAGCACTTCAGGAAGAAAAAAATAAAATAAAAGAGGCAATGTTTGTGAAAATGAAAAGGCAAATATCATGATATTAATGTTATCCATGAATGGGAATTACTATTTCTTGTCTCCATATCAAACTAATTTCCCCCCACCGTCACAACTTAGCTTATAGAGAGAGTTGTGAAATAAAAGACTGCCATTTGTCGAGCATCTTGCAGGCATTTTGAACTTCTCAAAATGGAGGAGCCTAATAAGCAGAAGACGAAAGAGAAGCCAAACGTTTGGTTCTCATTGAGAAACTCGCTGCACTGCAAATCTGGGCCGTCGGACGTGCACGACCCAAGGATCCGCCGGAGTCAGGTGGCCTCGATCTTGACCAAGAAAAGCGGCCGGTCCGGGTGCTCGCGGTCCATCTCCAACCTGAAGGACGTCATCCATGGCAGCAAGCGGCACCTGGAGAGGCCGGCGGCCAGCTGCAGCCCCAGATCCATCGGCAGCTCCGAGTTTCTCAACCCCATTGCTCATGAGGTTATCCTCACCGACTCCAACTGCGAGTTCAAGATCACCGGCTACGGCAGATCGACGTTTGTGGGCACAGTAACACCCGGGACGCCGGGCCCCGGAGAAAACATTCATCCTAATAACCCCTCTTCCAGACATTCCAAGAAAAAGGCTCATCTTTTAACACAAGTGGAAAGGGATGAACTTGGCAATGGCGGCGGGCCTAGAAAAAGTGGGTCCCTTGAGAAATATGGTAATGGCGGTGCTTGCCACAGGTGTGGAGAGCATTTTGTGAGATGGGAGGCTCTTGAATCTCATTATCTTTCTAACCATGCTGGTAAACTCAACTTCTCTCTCTCTCTCTCTCTCTCTCTCTCTCTCTCTCTCACGTTCCATTTTCAGATTTATTATAATGATTTGCAAAATAGGTTGATGAATTTGGAAGAATCATGATTTGGTCAAAACTGTAATACTCTGCTTTGTTCTGCATTCTCGTGCAGTATCCGAACTATCGGAAGGCGACTCGTCAAGAAAAATAGTGGAGATAATCTGCCGGTCGACCATGCCAAAGCCCGAGACCCAATCCGTGAAAATCGACAAAGTCCTCAAAGTCCACAACATGCAGAAAGCCCTGGCCAGGTTCGAGGACTACAGGGAGACAGTCAAAATAAAAGCGGGCAAGCTTCCGAAAAAGCACCCTCGTTGTTTGGCTGATGGAAACGAGCTCTTGAGATTTCACGGCACGACCCTTGTGTGCTCGTTGGGCCTAAACGGCTCGTCCAGCCTGTGCGTGTCAGAGAAATGCAATGTTTGTTGCATTATTAGAAACGGGTTTTTGGGCAAAAGGGAAATGAAGAAAGGCGGAATAGGAGTTTTCACGGCCTCGACCAGCGGACGGGCTCTCGAGTCCATAGAGGTGGGCGCGGAGGATAATTACTCGGTGAGGAAGGCTTTGATCGTGTGTAGGGTTATAGCCGGGAGGGTGCATAGGCCGGTGGAGAGTGTGGAAGAGATTGTGGGGCAGGTTGGGTTCGACTCGTTGGCCGGCAAAGTTGGCTTGTATTCGAATATTGAGGAGCTTTACTTGCTTAACCCCAAGGCTCTGCTTCCTTGTTTTATTGTCATTTGCAAATCATGATGCCCAAGTTTGGTACTGTTAGAATATCATTTGTGAGCCCACATTGTTTGTACAAGAAAAAATAGCCTAACTTATAAGATGAGCTACTCTTTCTACAACCAATTGATTTTCTCACGGCAATACCAAAAATTTTACATGTTCTCCATCTTGATGGTAAATGGTTAATATCTACTGTAATTTTTTCTTTTCTTTTTCTTTTTTTAATTATTGTTTAATGTATGTCATGAAATCGTAGAATTTTAGCCAGATGTATCTACTCTTTATTGGCATTGAAGAATAATTAAAAATAGGAAGATTCTACGGCCCCCGTTACGGAACCATTCCGTCGAGATTTGTAACCGTTAAATAAACTATCCACAACGGTTACATGATAATCTAACGGTTACAAATATCGATGGAATGATTCCGTAACGGGACGGTAGCATTTCCCTTGAAAATAACAAATAATAGGAAAGAGGTATTAGGCTTCTCAATTAATTCAATAGCACTCGCCTAAGTTGAGTAGAAATGGAATACGTACAGAATAATAAATAATCATTTCAGGGAGTAGCTGCAATAAATGAAGGGAAGATATGTGGACCAAAGTGCAATATTTATGAACCATAAAGGGTGCAATTTCAAATTTATAAAGAACAGGTAATTTCGACAACAACAGGTCATGCTGTACGAGACAATGTTTTCTTTGTCCGAACGATTCCCGTTTTGAAGTCTTATGCTTTGTATGAGCTCTCTTTTATTTTTATTTGTTGGCCCTTTATATTGTCAGCCCATGCTTTCTTATCCTCGTTTGTATTCATTTCATGTGATTTAAATGGCAGAGAGATGCTATATTCTCGTTACAGAATCATTCCGTAAGGGTTTGTAATCGTTTGATCATCATGTAATCGTCGGGGATAATTACTCTAACAGTTACAAACCCCGATAGAATAGTTTCGTCGGGGATAACACTTTCCTTAAATGCATCATGTTTACTCTTGTAATCAAAATTTGAGAGCCGTTGGGCTTTATGAGAGATTAGAAATTCTTGACTTCTTTATAATAATTTTTAGGGTCAATGTGAATAATATATATAATCTATTTGTATTTATTTTTCTTGTATTTGTAGCATGGGGTCATTCCAACGGTCTCTTCTTGGTTGTCACCCGGCGAGTGTGGGCTTGGAGGAATGATCGCCTCTTTAATGGGCGATTTCCAGGCTGCGAGGAGCGGCGTGTGGAAGTGCAGACCCGGACGGAGAGCTACAGCCGTGCGGCCGAGGCCCTCGCTACGGTCGGGGCAGTACTTAACCGTTGTGATTCACGTTTGATCTCTTGGTCGCCTCCGGCTCAAGGATGGTTCAAGTTGAACACCGATGGTGCTTTTGACGTGTCCTCTGGCCTCAGTAGTGCTGGTGGCCTTCTTCGAAACGAGTGGGGGGTTGGACCGCGGGCTTTCTTATGAATATCGAGTACTGTACCATTACTGGAGCCGAATTATGGGGTCTTTTCTAGGGACTTCAGCTTGCTTGGGATCAGGGCTTTCGCCAAGTTCGGGCGAAGGTAGATAGCCAGTGTGTACTGCAAATGATTAATGGCACCGGTCCCATCCCTGGGGCGCATGAAGCTTTAGTCAAGGCCATTAGATATTTGATCCAAAATGAGTGGACAATTCACCTCCGTCGTGTGCATCGAGAGGCGAATTTCGCCGCTGATCATTTGGCGAGCTTAGCGCCTATGGTCCCGATTGGTCTTGATGTGTTAGCCACGCCCCCCTACCTTGGGTGATTGGCTTGAACATGATGTGATAGGGGTTTCTTATCTCGGCCAAGTTATAGTTCAGTCTTAGGCCTTCGGCCTCCTTTTTTGCACAAATAAATAAATAAATAAAATAAAGTTGTGTTTTCATTAATTATAAAGTCTCTTTTCAAACTGTGTGGAAAGTGAAAAAAACACATATATTAAATCTAGATGAATTCAAAATGTGAAAATACAAGAAATATTGTTTGATTATATTGATAATCTATACTATTATAAAAGGAGGAGTGTTTTTGTAAAAATTCATAATGCCTAAAAAAACCCTTACTTTGACATAAATTTTATGGCAAATTAGTAATACATTAATACACATCATATTTTATTTATATTTTTAATTAAAAATGAACTACCTAAACAACCTTACTTTGACATATTTTTAATGGCAAATTGGTAATATACTAATGTCATCAGATCTTATATTATTAATTAATAACTAATATCAATTAATTAAATACAAATACATGAACAACTCATTCCACACTCCTAAAATAAAATTGTTTTCTTCCACATATCTTTAAAACTGTTTAATATAGAAACATTATTTTCAAAATAACCTATAAAAAATGTGTGATCGTATGCAAAATTAATTGTTGAAAACACTTGTAAAACTAGAAATCGATATTGTTTTTCTCATAACAACCACAAGATATTGAAACATTATTTTCAAAATAACCTATAAAAATGTGTGATAGTATGCGAGATTAATTGTTGAATGATTGTTCTGCAACATAAACTTCTAATCTATTCAATTTCTTTACTACATAAGATCAGAATAATTTTATGAAATTGTATAATATTAAAACTGTATCAATTTGTTTTCACGTCTAATGAGATACCACTTTAGCAATATGGATTAATTTTGACCATATAATTATCTACAAACTAATTAAAAATATCTCGAGAATCATGATATGCCTACATGTTGAAAATTAATCACTTTTTTATCAAAAAGTTATATTCATATATTATCATTAGTCATTTATTTATTTATATGTGTTATTAAAATAAAATGGTTTTTTTTTTTAAAAAAAAAATGTACGAAATAAAAAAATTATATATTTGAGTATAAATGAGAAGATTATAATTATATATAAAATAATATAAAAATACAAAATTAATTGATATAAATAAGACATATGACCTAAAAAGTGCTATACTTAATTTTATATATTTTTGAACAAACCGAAAAGTTACCCACAAACACACATGCACATTAAAAACACATGAAAGAACAATATAAAGTAAAAAATATTAAATGTGATAAATAATATTAAATTTATAATAAAGCTGTAATACTTACTAATAACTATGAAAAAAAAGTAATAAATAAAAATATTATAATTAGTAAAAATAATTATAGAACTTTTAAAATTTGTTTAATTTTTTGCGCTTATTGGTTCTGTATATAAATTTTAGATGATAGACATCAGTTATTTATACTTTTATCCATGAACGTTAGAAATTTATTTTCCTTAGAAAATTAATTATTTTGATTTTAAATAACATTTTATTTGCTATTAGTTTTTTAATATAATATATTAATGGCATATTTTATATATATACAATAATACTTTTCGTGATGTAATATGTAAGTGCAAGAAATGTAATTCAATAGATAAATTATAGGTAATTTTGCGATAAATAATGAACAATTTCTACAAAAAATTATATGGATTACAGAGTTCACTTGTTTAATATATTTTTAATATAAAAATTATAAATACAATTAATTAATAACAAAAACTCCTAATAAAAATTATAATATATAAAGGAATAAAAAAAATGGTACAT